TAGCTTCAATCTTCCTCTCCTAAGTCTATGGTGGTGGATACTGGTAAGCTGAATTCCCATAGCCTTTGTTGTTGCTGTAGTTGTTGATGTAGGGGTTTCTGATACTGTGAACTATGGTTGAAGTTGCTTCTCTGTCCATTGCCACTGAAATTCCAGTTTCCAACCTAGTTTCCAGACCTCTAAAATTCAGTACCTTCAATGTAGTTCACCTCTGCCTCTAACTATGCATCTACAACTTTTGCAACTTCAGCTAAGCAGACTTGCTTCATAAGAAGTTAGTTAACAACATCCAACTTTGCTTTCACTTCCTCCGTCTGCTACTTCCCAAGTAATGCACCAGATTTCTTCCTTTCAGGGTCAGTGTTCTTGGTGCTTATGTTGTTTGCTAGATTTTCAATGAGTTTCACAGCCTCTTCTGAATTCCTAGTGTTGAAGTTCCCTTCGCTTGTTGTATCAAGAGCCATCAAATACCTCAAAGCGACACCTCTAAAGAAAGTGATGATTAGTTTTACCTCATTGAATCCATGGTGTGGACAGTCTCGTTGATAGAAATTGTATCTGATCCAAGAGTATTTGAAAGACTCTCCAGCGTTCTGCACAAAAAATAGCAATCTTGCTCCTCAGTTCTTCAGCACGTGCCTCATCAAAGAAGTTACGCAGGAATGCGTTCTTGATGTCGGCCCAGGATGTCAGAGATCCTGGTGGTAGCTGCTTGAGCCAATGCGAACTTGATGTCCTCATGGATTCCATTAACTCTAATAGCGGAAATAAGATCCTCAAACCTCTCTAGATGGTCCATTGGATGCTCGTGGGGTAACCCACAGTAGGGTATCTATGCCACGAGTGTGTAGTACTGCGGTTTCAGCTCGAAATTAACCCTCTGAATATCTGGAAGACGAATAGCTGACATGTTGGCATAGTACTGGCCTGGACGGTTGTAGTCAGCCAAGGTCTTGCGTTGAGTAGCCTCATCAGTATCAATTTCAGGGATTATAGTCCCTTGATCATCTAGTCTCTGACCTGATGCATTACGCAGATGACCCTCCTGGTCATGCAGGTCTCCATTTTTGTCTGGTGTAAGTATCAGAATCGCAACCATGTCTCGCGGTTGAGTATCAAGCGATGTATGATGTGTGGTATCGATCGATGACGAGTGAATAAAATCGGTCGACAAAGAAGTGTTGATGTAGATCGAGTGGATATGTTTGCTGCTGCAGTGTTGGCAACGTTGTCATGGACGTTGTCATGGACGTTTTCATCGACACAAGTTTGTTGTTATTCTGTTTCCATGTCTAACTGAGCGTTTTGCGACTGAGAGTTATAGATTGATCCGACCTCCCCTCCTTCTAGCACTAAACTGTCAGGACCGAAATTTGCACTGTCGATTTCTGTGGAATTATGAATGTTGGAAAAATCTTAATTTTCAAGAGGTCTCTGAGATCTAAACAACCACCCGTCAAGCAATCAAAAACACGAGATAAACAAAAGAAAATTATAAGATATCAAAAGGAGAGCAAAATAAGTTCTTATTCCGAATCTGCGTAAGAGCATTACAACAAGGTAAGAGCCTCGGCTGCAAGAGCTATTGGCGAAATTCCCTAAATCTAACATCCTAAGACTGCAAAAACCCTAGTTGAGTCCCAGTTCGATAACAAAAACGGAAAATTACCAATTGCTCTAAGTCCTAAGTTTTTCTGAATGTAAAAGAGTCATCATGTTCCTTGCCTCGACTTCTTCTTATATACTTCTCTTCTAGGCGGTTTAGACGTTCCTTTTTTGCCCAAAGTCGAGTTTATCTCTTTCTCGAAAATCTTCCATTTTTTCTCAATCTTCATGATTATCCTTAGAAAGCTTCCATTTATCTTCAAGACATAACATTTATCTCCTGATGTGGAAAATAAATAAAAAGCCATGGTATCTTTGGGCTGGACTTCGTTTTAAAAATCTTAAATGGGCTTCTTCCGCGTTTTAGGACCTTTTCGGCCGTTTTACGATTTTGAGAGTATTTACAACTTTTAAAGAGGTTGTCTTTGATATGACGCTGTTTTCTGTAAATGAGTTCAAATTACTCGTATAGTCTAGGCAGCCTTGGTGTTATGCTAACCTTTTCCATCTACACGATTAACTTAAACTCACACGAGAAAACACGTCTTTGCGGTTTTTGCCTTAAAGTTCCAATGGTAACTCCAATCAAGATGAAACAAGAGATGGTTCAACTACGGTTCAGAGTACAATCGATTCAAGGGTTTTGATGTCATGCCCTACTCACCACCGAGCGAGTTGGATGGCACGGCCCAACTCACCTAGTAGCGAGTTGGATGGTTTGGCCCAACTTGCCACCGGGCGAGTTGGACGGCTTGGTTCAACTCGCCTGGTGGTGAGCTGGACGTTGCGTCCTATTCGCCACCGGACGAGTTGGACGGTGCAGTCTTGACTCGCCCGGTGGTTAGACGGACATTGTGTATTCAACTGCTTGTTATAGTTTGTAGGTGTTTCGATTGTTAGATCTTTGAGTTCAGAAGTACTTGTTCGAGGAACGAGAGATCCTCTCGACGTGTACTTCCTCTCTTTTTTTTAAATCGTATAAGGTCTTTTTTAATTGTTTCGTACTTAGTTACGAGTCTTTTGTAACTTCGTGTTCTTTTTTTTTTGGTAAAAGTAACTTTGTGTCTTTGTTAAGTTTTTCGATACTTGTTTCGAAGACTTTTAGTCGTTGATTACTTCGTAACCGATTTTGATCCCAACAACAACTTTATAGGTAAGCTTTATTTAAATGATTTACTTCAATATATCCCTTTATTGATTTTTTTCAAAAAAAAAAACTTGAGTAAGACAACCAAACAAGAAGATTTAGTTACATATTGTTTCGTTCTGTTTATCTATTTGTTACACTGATTATATTTATTCAGAGTGTGATACTAATGGAAAAATCTTGCATTACTGTATTTCAAAATAATTTCATCAAAGCAATTTGCATTCATGTATTTTCTAACTTCGCAATATATACATGAACATACTGTTGTGACCATCTTTCTCAAGCAATATTTGTAGTATTAAAATGATTCTTTCGATTATTTAATATATCTCTTAGTCCTTTGCTTCATCATGAAACGCTAAATGATTTAGTTAGATTTGATCTACCAACAGAGAGATTCTCTGTGTTTTAGTTTGCAAAAATGAAAAAGAAACCTCAAGCCTTTCTTCAGCCTGGCTCTTTGAGACAACTTTAAATATATTTAAGTTATTTTTATCATTTCCTTTTTAGTTATTAAGAGGTTTTCTGACAGAAATTTATAATTTGGTAAACACAGTACTACACCATATAAATATTTGATTTTGTCTCAAACGTTCTTATGTGAATTTTAATTGCGCTCTTTTGTATTTTAAATTAAACCAACGACAATTATCTATACATAAGTTGACCTGTGACATTATGAGTGATTCTATTTAATACACAGTAATTTTCAATTGTTATTATAGGCCTAATCTTTTTGGAAGTGCTCCTTGCTTTTTATTCTTTAATTATACTTTTTGTGCAGAAATGTAGGATTCCCTTTAGAGAAAGGAAACAACAAAGCCTTTGGTTCTGTAATGTCAAAACAACATGATCTCTTGACCAGAAGGGTGGGTAGGGGCCGTAGGGATGTGTAATTATTGTTCCATTTGAAAGTTAACATACTTTAGAAAATTAAAGGGGTCTCTAATAGCAGTGGTTATGAATCATGGTGGAAGATGACTCAAGCATTATCTACAAATTATTCGTTGTTTTTCTCAAAAGAAGAACGACATGTCTGGTTAGACCAATGAATTTGTATGTATTATAAGTATTTTTATATCATTTGTTTTGGCAGAGTATCGTTTGACTGCAATATTGCATTTTTTTTTCTTTTTTTTTCAACTAGTACAGAATTTAATCCCAATAAAAAGAGCGAATTAGTCTTGTTTCGCAAGGATAAATGTGTATACTGAAAATAATATAAATATAATGGTTTGTACAAAATATATAATTAATCATGAGAGATCAGAGTTAGACCATAGAAAAATTCAAAATTCTGACTATTCAACTGTTATATCTGCTAAAAATGTTTAATTGATTTGGAAAGTCTTAACCAAAAAGCAATTAAGTATGAAAAAAAGAGATAAAAGAAAGTGGACTGTAGGGGTGGAAGTATCATAGTTTAGTGGGTTTAAAGGTTTCTACATTGGATCTAGGGTTTAAATTCTAGATTACGTAATTTTCATATCAAGAAGGTTTTAATTTCCAGAAAATGTCAATTGTAAATTATACAGATTAGAGAAAGAATTTATAAGAGATCTTCAGCATGATACAAGGTGTAACGTCAAAAATAGATCTTATAGAACGGCTCAGAGTGATGCAGTCAGACGTAAATCCACATAAAAAAGAGATAAAAAAAATTTAATTAAATTCGAAAGTCTTAACCAAAACGCAACGAAGTATGAAAAAAAAAAAGATAAAAAAAAGTGGATTCCAAGGGTGGAAGTACTATAAATTAGTGGGTTTAAAGGTTTTTATATCAGGTATGGGGTTCGAATCTCAAGTTACACAATTTTTATATTAAGAGAGTTTTAATTTTCGGAGAATGTCAATGGCAAATTATACAAATTGAAGAAAAAACTTACAAAAAATTTTTGGCATGACGCAAGACGTTAAGAATAGATCTCATATGATGGTTTAAGATGATGTAGTCAAACGTAAATTTGCATAAAATAAGTAGAATTGTCGTCTCTAATATTATCTATAATATTTTTAATAAATTGTAATGCATATAATTTCCAATATTAAAAAAAATAAAGTGGACTGCAGGAAAATGGGAAAAGATCAAACTACTCTTTTTTTTTCTTTTTTAGGAAAAGGGCAAACTACTCTTTTGACCCCAGAATATATCAGTAACTACGTTTATATACTGATGACAACAGTTATCCGTTCGATTAACGTCGGTCTTCCAGATCCAACGATTAATAACGATTCAAAAGCACGCCAAGACTGACGTCAAAAAATGAAACCCAAGACCGACATAACCGTGTCTCATACCCAAATTATATAAACGAAACATTTTATAATCAAACCAGTTGCGTGTTTGGTTATCTTTTCTTTCGTGTAACCTAAATTAAGGGATTTGTTCTAACAAATCTCTCTAGAATCCAAACGAAGAATCCCGTCTCTCTTCTTCTTCTCGGGAAGATCAGAAAACAAGTTTTTGTGAAACATTTCATCCTCAAGCTTTGAAGATCGCAGGAAAATTTCTGGGTTTGATCTGACCGTTTCAGGTAAATTCTCATTCGGACACTTTCTCTTGTTAGATCTGCTTTGTTCGTCCTTCAACAGATCTGAACATGTTTTCGGATAAAAAGTTGTCTTAGGTCATGCGTAGAAATGTTTCGTAGTGCTTGGGTCATTTCCTAACGATTGATCCATTTAATTCGAATAAATATGATTCGTCATTAAAAGTTGGCATCGAAATATAGCTTATCCATCGAAATGAATCATTTTGATTATTGGATGTTGGGTTTAATTGAATTGAGTCGGTGCTGGGTTGAATCATATCAAATCAATTTGATTATATGAAAGTTGGGTTAAATCGAATCGAGTCAATTTGATTATATAGAATATGGGCTTAAATGATTGGATTCAAAATTGTTAAATCGGAGCTGGGTGGAATCAAATTGAGACAAAATGATATTCTTTGGTGTTCTAATTCAATGTCAACCTGTAAAAAAAAAAATTTATGTTGTTGTCGGAAGTTAATTTTTTTTTTTTTTGTTCTTTGTTTAATGAAGGTGAAGAAGAAAGGATTTTAAAAGACAACAACAACAGCAAAAATGAGCTCTGAGCAAAACAACAGCACAAGCTTCCCACCAACAGAGCCAAAGCTCTGCGATAACGGATGTGGATTCTTCGGGTCACCCTCCAACATGAACCTCTGTTCCAAATGTTACCGAAGCCTCCGTGCCGAGGAAGATCAAACCGCAGTAGCGAAAGCTGCGGTGGAGAAATCACTAAAGCTTCCATCTTGCAGTCTCATCACCACACCAGAGCCAAAACAGCCTCTGGAGACCACACCAGCAGCCTCTGTGGAAACCGTCGTGATTGCTGAGCCGTCTTCTGTTCCTCCTGTAGCTACGGGACAGGATGAGGGAGAGCCGTCGAAACCCGCACGACCGAACAGGTGTTTCAGCTGTAACAAGAAGGTTGGAGTTATGGGGTTTAAGTGCAAATGCGGGAGCACGTTTTGCGGGAGCCATAGGTACCCGGAGAAGCACGAGTGTAGCTTCGATTTCAAAGAGGTCGGACGCGGTGCAATCGCAAAAGCGAATCCTGTGATCAAGGCGGATAAAGTCCAGAGGATTTAATATGATGTGTTCTGTCTATCTTTCAGTTTATTCCGAGAATGCTGATGTGATGTGATCATGTTCGATGCTGGGTTTCTAAGAATCAAAATGAAAATTGCTGCTTATTGGTTTTCTCATGAATCTTTTCTTTTAGTGTTTTCAAGTCTATTGAAATGGAGTCTCTCTTTGCTGCTCGTATAACATCTGTAAAACTAGACACCTTGAGATTGATTCTGCTAGCTTCTTGGTTATGTTTGGATTCACAGCTTGACAGAGATGAGTCAAGAGATTAGTGCCTTCGTTGTTGAATCCCATGTTACAAGATAAAATGAGGGTCTCAGTCAGTTAGATGTATTATGTCGATGAGTCATCAGATAACAGATGTGACTCGTGTTGGAGAAGACAATACAACTTGGAAAATGGAAATAGATTTTTGAGTTTAGTTCTTCATTTCGTTGTCAAGTGAACAACCATACATTCTAATGCATATGGACAACTTATTAATTGTAATAAGTTGCCTATTACTTTTGGAGAAGTTTTTTTTTATCATACTAGAGAGTATAAAGACAATCAGTGGTGTCCGTGAATAATTAGACCTGCCTAAAGGGTTTAGCCGGAAAAAAAAAACATGTACCTCTACGTAAAGGAACGTCCAAAAGAGAGTTAATGGGGTGATAAACAAGATCTCTATCCAAAGCTGGGAAAGATAAATTTATAAAATCTGTGGGCTGTGGGCTGTGGGCACTACTATGCCGATTTACTCTATGAATTGTTTTCAGCTGCCTTCTGATTTATGCTACCAATTTGATAGTCATCTATCCTCACTTTGGTGGGGGTATTTGGAAAAATCTTTCTCATAAAACAGAAGTGGAGGTATATGATTCAGAGATCTCTTGAAATTCAACCAGTCCCTACTGACTAATCATATTTGAAACTGATACAACATCCAGAAGGCATGTTATAACGAAAAACACATGTTTCAAGAATAGAGATATTTTGAACGCAAATAAAGGGACGCAAACAATTATATGGCTGGCTGCTTTATTATTTATAAGAGATATAATTCAAAGAGGAATTAATATTCGAATGGAAGATGGCAAAGAT